CGGTAAACTATTACATCCGGTTGACAAGAAGTTAGGAAAGAGCATAGATGCCGTTATCGATCCAGTACACTTACGTTACATCCAGGACAGTTCGACGTGAAAACCGGAAAACTCGTCGGTAAAATCGATCCTAAGACACTTGAGTTGATTGACGTTGATTTCGATCCTAAATCCGGAAAACTCTCGGGAAAGAAAGGAAAAGGTTTCTTCGGAAAATGGGGCAAGAGTTTAGAATTCGAAATGCCGAAATTCGACGTTCATTTACCGGAAATATCGTGGGGCGAACTACCGAAATTCGACAGACCGGATCTTCAAGCCGTTGAATTACAAATCGACCCGAAGACCGGACGACTATTGGACGGTCAAGTGGATCTTCACACCGGTAAAATCAACGTTCCCAAATTTGACTTGAAAACCGGTAAGCTTTTGAAATATGATGATGAATTTAGAAAAAATTTGGTTTACGGTGTAGTAGATGTAGATACATATTCTTTGTTACCTGGACAATTCGATAAGGATGGTAAATTAATTGGTAAAATAGATCCTAATGATATGAAACTTATTGACTTGTCTGTGTTAGATGGGAAAATTTGTCGTAAAAACGTAGGTTTCCGTAGTTTAGACGATACGTCCTTTTTAGGTATTGAAAAGGGTAATAGAGATTTATTTAAATTTTCTTTGGACAAACGTTATTTGACAAATCCTAGCGACATTAAATTTGTAACATTACAAATTGATAGAAAAAGTGGAGTTCTTCATCCCAATCAAATTGATTTGAATACCAATGTTCTCATTGACAGTAATGTTGATTTAGTAACCGGAAAACTACTTCATCCATTAGACAAAAAAATATCTAAAAATGTTTCTGTTGCTTATGACAGAATTTCTAAAAGAATCATACCGGGACAATTTAATGACGACGGAAAATTAATTGGAAAAATAAATTCAAAAACATTTGAGTATACAACAATTGACTTTGATGCAAAAGTAGAAAAGTTTTGGCCAGACAAAGTAAAAGGTTTCTTTGGTAAATTCCGACCTACACATTCAGAAATTGATGTCATTGAAATACCTGAGAAAGACAACAAAATAAATATTTCGAAAACAGATATACTATTACCGGATATCAGTTTCGGTGATCTACCAAAATTCGACAGACCAGATATGAAAGCAATAGAATTACAAATCGATCCTAAAAGCGCATGCTTACTGGAGGGTCAAGTTGATTTACCAACTGGTAAAATCAACGCTCCCAAATTCGACTTGAAATCCGGTAAACTATTACATCCGGTTGACAAGAAGTTAGGTAAAAGCATTGATGCCGTTATCGATCCAGGTACTTTAACACTACATCCAGGACAGTTCGACGTGAAAACCGGAAAACTCGTCGGTAAAATCGATCCTAAGACACTTGAGTTGATTGACGTTGATTTCGATCCGAAATCCGGAAAACTCTCGGGCAAGAAAGGAAAAGGTTTCTTCGGAAAATGGGGCAAGAGTTTAGAATTCGAAATGCCGAAATTCGACGTTCATTTACCGGAAATATCGTGGGGTGAACTACCGAAATTCGACAGACCGGATCTTAAAGCAGTTGAACTACAAATCGATCCGAAGACAGGACGTTTGCTAGACGGTCAGGTGGATCTTCACACCGGAAAAATCAACGTTCCCAAATTCGATATCAAGACCGGAAAACTTCTTAATCCCGTAGATAAGAAATTAGGAAAAACAATACACGCGGCCATTGACCCGGGTACCATGACTTTACATCCGGGACAATTCGACGTCGAGACCGGTAAAATAGTCGGTAAAATAGATCCCAAATCATTAGACCTCATTGAAATCGACTACGATCCTAAAACCGGAAACTTCATCGGAAAGAAAGTTCGGGGATTCTTCGGTAAATTAGGAAAGGGATTCGACGTTGAAATGCCTAAATTCGACATTACGTTACCGGATATCAGTTTCGGTGATCTACCAAAATTCGACAGACCAGATATGAAAGCAATAGAATTACAAATCGATCCTAAGAGCGCGTGCTTACTGGAGGGTCAAGTTGATTTACCAACTGGTAAAATCAACGCTCCCAAATTCGACTTGAAATCCGGTAAACTATTACATCCGGTTGACAAGAAGTTAGGTAAAAGCATTGATGCCGTTATCGATCCAGGTACTTTAACACTACATCCAGGACAGTTCGACGTGAAAACCGGAAAACTCGTCGGTAAAATCGATCCTAAGACACTTGAGTTGATTGACGTTGATTTCGATCCGAAATCCGGAAAACTCTCGGGCAAGAAAGGAAAAGGTTTCTTCGGAAAATGGGGCAAGAGTTTAGAATTCGAAATGCCGAAATTCGACGTTCATTTACCGGAAATATCGTGGGGTGAACTACCGAAATTCGACAGACCGGATCTTAAAGCAGTTGAACTACAAATCGATCCGAAGACAGGACGTTTGCTAGACGGTCAGGTGGATCTTCACACCGGAAAAATCAACGTTCCCAAATTCGATATCAAGACCGGAAAACTTCTTAATCCCGTAGATAAGAAATTAGGAAAAACAATACACGCGGCCATTGACCCGGGTACCATGACTTTACATCCGGGACAATTCGACGTCGAGACCGGTAAAATAGTCGGTAAAATAGATCCCAAATCATTAGACCTCATTGAAATCGACTACGATCCTAAAACCGGAAACTTCATCGGAAAGAAAGTTCGGGGATTCTTCGGTAAATTAGGAAAGGGATTCGACGTTGAAATGCCCAAATTCGACATTACGTTACCGGATATCAGTTTCGGTGATCTACCAAAATTCGACAGACCAGATATGAAAGCAATAGAATTACAAATCGATCCTAAGAGCGCATGCTTACTAGATGGTCAAGTTGATTTACCAACTGGTAAAATCAACGCTCCCAAATTCGACTTGAAATCCGGTAAACTATTACATCCGGTTGACAAGAAGTTAGGTAAAAGCATTGATGCCGTTATCGATCCAGGTACATTAACACTACATCCAGGACAGTTCGACGTGAAAACCGGAAAACTCGTCGGTAAAATCGATCCTGATACTTGTGTCTTGCATCCGATTAAGGATTTGGATTTATTGTTGGGTTCTAGTGGAAAGGGTGGTAACTTTTTTGGTAAGTTAAGTTCTCAATTTGGTGTAAAGGAGCATGGTATATGGGTTCCGGACGTTAACGTTAAAAAGGGTGCTACTTTACCCGGCAAATTCAGAAGTTTAGGTGGGTTATTTTCGGATTCATTTAAAGGTGATACTGAAGATTTATCGGTTGGTTCTTCTTTGGATGATTCTTTGATTACTCCTGATGGATGCATTAATTTAAATAGAGATGATATAAAAATAATTGAAGTTCAAATCGATCCTAGATCTGGTCGTTTGTTAGAGGGATTAGTTGATTTTGAATCTGGAAAAATTTGCGAACCGAAATTTGATTTTGATACTGGTAGATTGAAGCATCCGTTAGATAAGAAACTTGGTAAGACGATTCAAGTTTACATTAATGGAAATACTAGAAAATTACTTCCTGGTCAATTTGATTTGAAAAGCGGTAAATTAGTTGGAGAAATTAACCCAAGAACACTTAAAATTAAACCTGTAGAATTCGATCCAAAAACTGGAAGATTTTTTACTGGAAAATTCAGAGGCTTAAAAGGTCGTTTAAGTGGTTCCTTAAAAAGACCGGATGTTAAAGAAATTTGGCCAGATTTGACCGATATTAATTTTGACATCTTTCCTAAAATTGATTCTCCTGATTATAGGGCAGTCGAGCTGAGGATAGACCCGAATACTGGTAATTTAGTCGATGGTTTTGTAGATTTACATACTGGTAAAATCAATGAAAATAAGATAGATATATCATCGGGTAAAATAATATCTTCTTTCGATAGAGAAAATGGTAAACCAGTTTATGCAATAATTGATATTAATAAAAAAACAATATTGCCTGGACAATTTGATTCTTCAAACGGAAAGCTTATAGGAAAATTGGATCCGAAATCATTTAAATTATTAGAAGTGGAATATGATCCACGAAACAAAAAATTCAATGGTAAAAAAGTAAAGGGATTTTTCGATCGATTTACAAATTCATTAAAATTTAAAGATTTTGAAGTTGATCTTCCAGAAATCGTATATGATAAACTTCCAACTGTAGATTCAAATGATGTTAAAGCTATTGAAGTTGAAATTGATCCATCAACTGGTTGCCTTTTGAAAGGTCAAATTGATATTTCGAATGGAAAAGTAAATGAAGAAATTATTGATTTGGACTCTGGCAGGTTGAAAAAGCCTCTTGGCGGAAAGGTTATTTACGCTTTAATGGATATTCAAAAAAAAGAAATAATTCCCGGACAGTTTGATGACATAGACGGTAGAATAATCGGAAAATTAGATCCCGATACTTTTGAACTCATTGAAATTAATTATGATCCAGTTACTAAAACTTTTCTTACCGGTAGACTTAAAGGAATATTTGATAAAATTAGCGGATCTTTCAGCCCTAAAAATTATGATCCGGAAATACCTGAAGTTTCTTCTTTATCATTTAAAATTCCCCCTAATATTGACAAACGAGATTTGAAAATATTTGAACTTCAAGTGGATCCGTTATCAGGAAGATTATTAGATGGTCAAGCTAATTTGAAGACGGGTAAAATTGCGGAATCACAATTTGATTTACCCACTGGTAAATTGAAAACTCCTAGAGAAAAGAAATATGGAACCAACGTGGAGGTATTGGTGAACCAAAAAAATTATTCTTTATTACCTGGACAATTTGATATTAATACAGGAAAACTTATTGGTCAAATTAATCCAAAAACGTTTAAATTCTCTCCGATAGAATTTGAACCAAAAACAAGCCGAGAATGGACTACTAAAATGAAGGATTTTGCCGAACGATTGACGGGTTCATCAAAAGAAAAAATAAGTACAAAGCCTTTGGGTCGATCCGATGATATTTCGCTTAATTACGAAAAATTCAAGTTTGTCGATATACAAATAGATCCTAAATCCGGTGTTATATTAAGTGATCAATATGATTTAAATACTGGAAAAATAAATCCTTCAAAATACAATTTAAAAACTGGAAAATTACTTAATCCACATGATAAAAAATTTGGAAAAACAATTTCTGTAGTCATTGATCCGGACTCATTAAAACTATTACCGGGTCAGGTTTGTGAAAAAGAAGGAAAAATTATTGGAAAAGTTGACAATAAAACATTAAAATTAACTAAAGTTAATTTTGATATTGATACTGGTAAATTTGTACCAGACGTTGATACAGATTTTTCGATATCTTCTAAAATTGCTCTCGATGATCCATCACATTCTACTGTAATTTCGGAAAAAATGCATGAAGGTATGCCAAAATTTAAGGCAAACGATATACAATTTTTTGAAATTGAAATCGACCCTAAAACATCAAGAATAAAAAGCGATCAAGTCGATTTGGAAACGCATAAAATTAATCCCGAAAAATTCGATTTAGAAAATTGTAAACTGAAAAATCCTTCTGATAAGGAACATGGAATGATTGTTAATGTTGCAGTAGATCCAGTTACGTTAAAACTACTTCCCGGACAGTTTAATAACAAAACAGGAACACTAATTGGGAAAATTGATCCCAAAACGTTCAAAATTACCGAAATGAAATACGATCCTAAAACAAAATCATTTACTATTGGAAAACCAAAAGGTTTTATAGCAAAACTAGGAGATGTCTTCTCTGTTAAAGAGCATAAAATTGAAGTGCCAGAAAAAAATAAAATTGAATTTATTGATATACCTGATTACAGTGATGATAACATGAAACCTATTCAACTTCAAATTGATAAAATAACTGGTCAAGTGTTCGATGAATTAATTGATGATGACAATAAAATAAAAACAAATCATTTTAACCTAACAACAGGAAAACTAACCACGCCAAAACCTGAAACGCAAGCTAAAAATGTCTACGTATTCATTGATCCAAAAACGTATAAAATACTACCCGGACAATATGATGCAGAAACTAAAAAAATAGTCGGCATCATTGATTACAAAAACGATAAAATAAAACCAATAGAATACAATATTAAAACTGGAGAATATCTAATAAAGAAGCCAAAAGGATTCCTTGAAAAAATCAGTGGCGCCATATCAAAAGATCATGAAATAGAAACCGACACAAAAATCGACATTACGTTACCGGATATCAGTTTCGGTGATCTACCAAAATTCGACAGACCAGACATGAAGGCCATTGAGTTACAAATCGATCCTAAGAGCGCATGCTTACTAGATGGTCAAGTTGATTTACCCACTGGTAAAATCAACGCTCCCAAATTCGACTTGAAATCCGGTAAACTATTACATCCGGTTGACAAGAAGTTAGGAAAGAGCATAGATGCCGTTATCGATCCAGGTACACTTACGTTACATCCAGGACAGTTCGACGTGAAAACCGGAAAACTCGTCGGTAAAATCGATCCTAAGACACTTGAGTTGATTGACGTTGATTTCGATCCGAAATCCGGAAAACTCTCGGGAAAGAAAGGAAAAGGTTTCTTCGGAAAATGGGGCAAGAGTTTAGAGTTCGAAATGCCGAAATTCGACGTTCATTTACCGGAAATATCGTGGGGCGAACTACCGAAATTCGACAGACCGGATCTTAAAGCAGTTGAATTACAAATCGATCCGAAGACAGGACGTTTGCTAGACGGTCAGGTGGATCTTCACACCGGAAAAATCAACGTTCCCAAATTTGACTTGAAAACCGGAAAACTTCTTAATCCCGTAGATAAGAAATTAGGAAAAACAATACACGCGGCCATTGACCCGGGTACCATGACTTTACATCCGGGACAATTCGACGTCGACACCGGTAAAATAGTCGGTAAAATAGATCCCAAATCATTAGACCTCATTGAAATCGACTACGATCCTAAAACCGGAAACTTCATCGGAAAGAAAGTTCGGGGATTCTTCGGTAAATTAGGAAAGGGATTCGACGTTGAAATGCCCAAATTCGACATTACGTTACCGGATATCAGTTTCGGTGATCTACCAAAATTCGACAGACCAGATATGAAAGCAATAGAATTACAAATCGATCCTAAGAGCGCGTGCTTACTGGAGGGTCAAGTTGATTTACCGACTGGTAAAATCAACGCTCCCAAATTCGACTTGAAATCCGGTAAACTATTACATCCGGTTGACAAGAAGTTAGGTAAAAGCATTGATGCCGTTATCGATCCAGGTACTTTAACACTACATCCAGGACAGTTCGACGTGAAAACCGGAAAACTCGTCGGTAAAATCGATCCTAAGACACTTGAGTTGATTGACGTTGATTTCGATCCGAAATCCGGAAAACTCTCGGGAAAGAAAGGAAAAGGTTTCTTCGGAAAATGGGGCAAGAGTTTAGAGTTCGAAATGCCGAAATTCGACGTTCATTTACCGGAAATATCGTGGGGCGAACTACCGAAATTCGACAGACCGGATCTTAAAGCAGTTGAATTACAAATCGATCCGAAGACAGGACGTTTGCTAGACGGTCAGTGGATCTTCACACCGGAAAATCAACGTTCCCAAATTTGACTTCAAGACCGGAAACTTCTTATCCCGTAGATAAGAAATTAGGAATAACAATACACGCGGCCATTGACCC